AGGCTGGTGGATTCGAACTGCTGACCTTTTAGTTAGCAGTCAAGCTCTTCCACTGCACCACGAGGGCTCCATAATACAATATGCAGCCAAACTAATTTCACAGTAAGTCCCCAATGTCCTCCCTAGACACCATACACATCAAACTTTGAGCTTCCAGAAGAGTATTAGTGATTCTTACCCAATTAAGATTAATCAGGGAACAACACACTGTGTTCCATTAATTCCTGACTGCCTCCTTCCTGGCTGGGACCCACCGCTCCAAGGAGCATTTTCTCTTTAGCAGGGTCCAGTGGGAAGGAGACCAAGAGACAGGAAGGCGGGCTGAAGTCCCAGGTGTATTACTTACTGGAAACACTAGCCTTGGGCAAGTCACTGGTAAAGCTGCCTGTGTCTTCTACAACGTGGAGGTAATAGTAAGGTGCTCACTTCGCTAGACTGTGAGAACTAAATGATAATGTGTGTTTACTCTGTAAACTGTTAAGGATGTATATGACATTATCACCTCTTCAAAAACACGAACTCACCAGTTTAGCAGGAGCCTTTCCCAACACCACAGTCTGGTGCCCAGCCCCAGATGCTCCCTTCACTTAACCCTAATTCTGAGCTTAGCACAAACCTGTCCTCACAGCTGACGCTCCACCCTGGTGTTCTCTGGCTAGCCACATCTGACCCTCTCCCCTGAACCCAGCTGGGACCCCACCCCACTGCTAAGGTTTTCTGACTCCCCATCCAGAGGGCTCGTTTGCTTCTCTGAACTCCAGGGCTGTGGGATCATTCATCTGGTACTTTGTCATATGGTACCTATCACTACTACCTCACTTTTCATACTTGTGCAGTTAGGCCCCAACTTAACAGGTTGAGTTCTTCTGAGGCTGGCTGTTTAGTGGAACAAAAATAAACTCTCCCACATAACGGCTAGGTCCTGTGGCCCGTTCACAAAACCCTGTTTCAACAACAATACGAGCCTGCATGGTTCTCCTACAAAGGCTTTGTGAAAAACCTGCTCAGAGCAGTTCAACGCGGGATTCAAGGCTTAACAAACCTCATGGTGAATTTAACTTCTCCACCTAGCTTGGCCTGTTTTGGAATTAATGGTGGCAAAAAAAAAAAAAAAAAAATTTTTTTGGGGGGGTTGCTTTCGCTTCCTAGAGATTAATTAACATAGTAAGAAGACTGAATCCCAGGACAATTTATCCTGTGATAATTTCACGGTGATACCTGTGATTGGAAATGGTGGGGGGCGGGACGGGGTGGAGGAGGGGAGAGGTGTTCAGAAACGTGTCGGTCAGAGGCTAGGGCCCGGTCCGGCAGGAGGAGGCAGAAAACTGGTCACCTCACTGGAATCATTCTTTACTCTGAGGTCCACAAGGGGCAGGTGGCAGGCACAGCTGAGCATCTAACGTGGGTTGTGATCGGTGGGCTCAACACTTCCCTACCCAAATCTGGGCCTAGTGATAACACGTCAGAGGCCCCACTCCCTCCAGAGGCTGGTGCTGCCCCCAACCCACAGTCACCCTGCAATCATATCCTAACTCCAGCCCTGAGACCTGGGTCCAATTAGAAAGTGACCAGCACACATCTATGCCTACGCTTCCAGCTGCTAATCTGACGTTCAAGAAAAAAGTTTATTATTTGGTGGGGAATTTTAAAGTGAGACCTTTATGAAGAGTTAACAGTCCATAGTGATTTCAGAATAAGATACTGGAAAGGAGTGGTCTTCTTCCTCATCAGTCCAATCCCAATTAGCAGCAACCTCCTGGCTCTGCCCCTGCTGTGTTGGTTGCTCCACTGAGCTGATACACCTGAGGCAGAAGGAGGGGCACTTCTGGACACAAACTCTGCCCAAGCCAGGACCCCAAACCAAAACAACCCATTGCCGTGGAGTCAATTCTGACACATAGCGACCCTACAGGACAGAGCAGAACTGCCCCATAGGGTTTCCAAGCCAGACAGGACCAGACAAGGGGATTTCTGCCTTCTAATGCTCCCCAGTCGATCACCTCAAGTTCCTTGATTTAAAAAATAAAAATAAAAAACCTGCTAAAATGTAACTCAAATTTTATTGAGCCAAAATTCAGGGTGGGGTTGGAGTGGAATTGTCAGATCTCTACACTAATGTTTCTTTGAGCTTCACTCAGTTTAAAAAAAAAAAAAAAACACACAAATTTCCTTCTCTGTAAAAGGAGAGGGATGAACTGGCTGTACGAATCTACTAATATAGTAAATGTGGTAGAGTCTAGTCCCTCAAACATTTATCTGTGACCTGCTGCCCAGCTGGTGTAAGTGCTGGCACTAAAACACCCACCGAGAGATGCGGCTCCAGGTGGATCTCCAATGTTCACGTCACCCAGGGCTTTGGATCACCAGTGTGGAAAGCCCAGCGCTGACTGAACGGTATCTGACAACACATGTTTAGCTGTGGACATTCATTTACCCAGGCCTGGAACTTCTAACCACCTCATTAGCCTTGGAATCTGAAAACGCAAGGATCCTTCAGGCAAGTCATCCTGGAGGCGGTCTCCTGGAGGGAGGGTCCCTAACTTGAGGCCCAGGCGGCCTCTGCAGCCAAAGGCGGACTGTGGTTTGTGTCTCTTCCAGAAAGTCCCATGAACCAAATAAACAACAGGGCCAAGGAGGCCAAAAGTCTCCAGTCCCAATGAACAAGAGCCTCAACTCATTCTACCATATCCTCATTTTGGGAATAAGATTAGTTAAGACTGCCCGACTTATCAAGAATGGCTGTGAGGAATGGATCATAAACAAAGCTAAGGTAGTTGGGGGTTTTACAAAGTGCTGCATCATTGCTGAACAAAATTTCTCACACTGGCTGCCTAAGAGGTGGGAGATGGTGGCCACCTTACCTTGTCTCCATTCCTGCCACCTTACCTTGTCTCCATTCCTGCCCTCTTAGGTCTGAGGGTCACAGAAAAATATTGACTGCTAGTAGCAAACAGAGAGACATAAGAGGTATCCACACACAACTAAGAATCACGCTTTGCTGGTTTGTATTCTTCTCTCCACTACTTTTGTCACCCTGCTCAGAATAAAGGGCCATGGGCCTGGTCCCACTTATTACGTGGGCATTATCAAAGACACAATCTTCTTAGCAGAAAAGAATTATGGGCCTTCCAAAGGTGAACAATTTACTCGCTAAGGCCTGGAAAGACTGCACCCTACTGGAACGAAAATAAGTGTTCAAACTAACTCCTGTCCCCATGACCTTTAATGATTTTGTCGGGTCACTTTCAAAACATCATTCCAAAAAAATCGATAAACAATCGTACTAGGTTAAAAGTCATCGGGCCAGGGGGAGGGTGAGAGGTCAGGAAAAAAAAATCTGGTTACGAAAATCACATTTAAAGCTGCAGATCACAATAATTCTAGCCCAAGCTCCCAAACAAGACTCGGTTTAGAAAACAAATCAAAATGCAATGAGTGGTTTGCCCATGTTCACTGTGTGGTCCCGCCTCCCTTCTGCAATGCCCATGGTGTCTTTTTATTCCTTTTTTGGTTCAATATATTTTGTTTCTGTATATGATTCTTTGTGTTTTTCTGAATCCAAATCTCTCCTCTGTAGTTTTTTTTTTTAAATAAGTGTTAGGAGCTCTGGTGGCACGGTGATTAAGAGCTCAGCTGCTCACCAAAAGGTCAGCAGTTCGAATCCACCAGCTGCTCCTTGGAAACCCTATGGAGCAGTTCTACTCTGCCCTATAGGGTCACTATCAGTCAGAATCAACTCCACAGTAACGAGTTACAACATTTAAAAAAAACAAAAACACACACCCCACAAACCACCTTCATGCAGCCAGCGTGGTTCTGGGCAGGCACCACCTTTATTTAGCTTTTGTCTAGTCTGACCCACAAATGCTCACAGAAAATGAGGAAACAAGACCTGCACGCGGGGAACAAAGTGCACGGACAAGGCACACTCCGGCTGACGTGGGCCCCACCAGCCCAGAGGACCCTGCTCTTGAACGGAGGGGCAGGGAGAGAAAACTGACTCCCATTCTCACTCGGGCTCAAAGAGACAATTCTTCCCTTGGGGCTAGCAACTGGGCAGGGTACCACCTCAGCCTCTCACCTCCGGTCAGAGGTGTATGGTCGGTCTGCATGAAGACCCACTGCGGCTGTCACGTTACAGGGTGGGGAGTAAGTTAAAAACGAGGCTTTCTGGCAGCCCTGCTGGCCCCCACCATCATATTTTCCTAGTGACGTCACTACAGATGTGGGGCTCTCTCTCCCTGGGAGTCAGCTTTTGGCTCAGCCCCGCAACCACCTATGTAACCGCCGGGGCTCTGGTGGAGGACAGCATCCATTTTCAAACCAAGACGAGACCAAACTTGTTGGTCAGTTACGGTGGCTGCTTTAAGCTGCTCGGGCTTAGGTGATGGAGAAGCTCTGGGAAACACAGTGGGGATGGGACTTTCACTGTGGGCTGACCACTTCCCTGCCAGAAAATGCATGATGAATTCATCAGAAGCTTCATTCCCAAGGAGAAGATAAAACACCAGCCTCCCTCTCCATCCCCAAAATAAAAAGCATACATGAAGAAAACAAAACAGAAAAGTCAAAGGCAACTGAATTTAATTCTTGCCACCAAAAAAATGGCCGCTCAGATTTTCCAGAGAATCAATAAGAGACAAATTTAGAAATCATTACCTCTTGGAATACAAGATCATCCTGGAGCCAGCCCCCAAGCCTGGCCTTTCCATTTCCAGCACTCGCCCTCTTGAACAGGGGACACCAGCCAACATCTTTTTCTGACCTGAGGCAGTAACCCCACAAACTACCAGAACGAGGACGCTTATCACAGTTCAAGAACATCATACAGACCCGGAAGCTTACACTGCAGCTTTCTCCAAAGCACCCCCTCATTCACTTATCAAGATTTTCCTTCTCTAGAAGTATCAACCGCTAACTGCGGAATTCAAGAGGAGTCAAGTCCACGACTTGGTTATTCGGAAATCTTTTCCCACCCACGGTATAACGCCCTCGCTTACCAGTCTCTCTCCAGAGAGGACCTCCAGCAGCTTGATGAGCATCCGCCCATCCCGAAGGTCAGTATAGAGGTCTGTGATCCGGCAGGACACCCGGGCGAGGTGAGAGTTGACCCACTTGGTGAAGGTCTTCTTCTGCACGGCTTCACGCTCATCTGCAAGCAGAGGGGAGCTCTCTTTATCACCAGCCAGTAGAGTAACAGCAAAACTCAACTCAAGTGAAACCTCGACTTAGCACCTCCTAACCACAGTCCTCTCGTTGAGAACACAGGGACCATACAATCCTTGGGCCCCTGGGCATCCTGCCAGCAGTGTATCCTTCACGCTCTTTCACTTCACTTTCTCTCATCTCTGCTGAAGAGACAGCAGGAGGCGGGGAGGTCAGTGTGGGGTCCCTTGCAGTCTTACCCACTAGGATAGTATTTGCCTGGTGAAGTTTCTAGAGTCTCTGTTGTGTTACTATCCCTCCATAAGGCGTGTGGGGAAAGCGTACGATATGTGAATGGATGTGGGGTGGAGAAGCTCAGGAGGCAGCAGGAGATTGCTGCTCTCATGTGCAAAGGATTGAGCATTAAAAAGCACCTGACAGGATAAAGTCACTCATGACCCTGATCCGCGACGGCCCCTTCTGCCTGCTCAGGCACACGTGGCGCGCAGTGTGCACAGCAGGGAGAATGGCAGAGAGCGTGGAAGAGCGCAGACAGATCTGGCTGGGCTGTGGGAGAACAGGGGCCTGGGCCCAGGCTTTTGCAAAGACTTGCTCATCTATACAATGAGTGGACAGCTGTATCATCCCCAAATTCTACCATTCTTTGAAAAGGCAAACGCTGGTTTGTGGTCAAAATGGTGGTAAGTGCAGAGTAAAGTCATTCAGGAAACAGTATTAAGTTTTTCAAGCCTCAGTAATTCAGAACATAAAACTCTAGACACATCTGCCCAGAGCCAGCCTTGCACATCCCATACAAGCAGGCTTCTGATCTTCTTGCCTCTGCAGAACGTTCCAGACGCAGGCTTCTGAAGACCTTCGACAGAGACCCAGAGGTGCCCTGGACTCACCCACGCATACTCCCCGATCCTGTTCTCTGCAGTTATCCTCTCAGTTACTTTCCCGCCTCTGATTCCGTCAGCATGAACTTGGACCAAAAGAATCCAAGACATACTCCTTCAGTGCAAACTCAAACCTAGAAGGACGTTTACTCGTAAACCTACACAAAAGAGGAGCGGACCCCAACAATTTCTTCTGTATTTCAAAGTCACTGCATGACAATGAAAAAGCTGCCCTTGCCCACGGGGCGTGTTGTCTGGTGGCCTATGGGTGACAGGTTCCCAGGTTGACCAGAGGATAGCAAACTGGCCAGCAGCCTGGGGAGGTCGGCCAGAAGGCTCTGCTGAGGCCTCCATCACCCTGCACCACAGGGAGAGAGTGAGGGAGGTGGCACTGGGTGATCCTTCACTGCTGCCAACCTGGCAGGTGAGGCGGCCGGCCACCTGCCAAGACACCCGGCCACCTGCTGCTGTGAGCAGCTCCCCCCTCCAGCCTTTCCTGATGGGAACAGCCATTCAGAGGGAAAGAGGGGCCTTTCCTTGGGAACAAAGGCCAACCCAAAAGAGACAGAGATACGGATCAACAAGGCCAGGGTGGAGACAGAGTGCAGACCGGTAGCTGCCAGGAGCTGGGGGAGGGGGGCAATGCGGAAGCACTGCCGAATGGGTAGAGGGTTTCCTTCCAGGGTGATAACAACGTTTTGGAACTAGATGGAGGTGGTGGCTGCAAACACTGTGAATGCACTAAATATCACTGAACTGTTCGCTTTAAATGAAGCCCTGGTGGCTCAGGGGTTAAGAGCTTGGCTGCTAAGAGGTCAGTGGTTCAAATCCACCAGGTGCTCCTTGGAAACCCTATGGGGCAATTCTACTCTGTCCTTTAGGGTTGCTGTGAGTCTCAATCGTCTTGACCACAAGGGGTGAAGAGTTCACTTTAGAACGACTGATTTTATGTCAATTTCACCTCAATTTTCTTTTTTTTTGAAAAAGAGCAAGGTTGGAGGAACAAGGAAAGGCGGTGAGGGGCTGCTGCAGAGGGAAAAAGGAGCTGTTCTAAGAACAGGCGGACAGGTGATGACAAGCATTATTCATGATGCAGTCATCACTACAGGCGGTAACTCCACCACAGCACCGCAGCGCCGTGGGCAATGGTATGTTCTGGCCTGAGGCTGGCTGTTCAAAAAGGACAGGTCCAGAGCAGACACAGGTGCATCAAGCCTCTCCCAGGTACACTTCCCAGGTAATGTCTGCCCAGCACCAAGGCTCAAAAGTACTCAAGGTCAACAACCATGCGTATTTTAAATGATAATATCCTTTATGCACTACACAGGGGTAATAAAGACTAATGTGAGTGCTAGGCTGTTAATTCAGGGTTTGGGCCTCCAAGTCACTGCCACACCCAGCCTATCAAGGGAACGAGATGAAAACGCACACCTGCCTGGATTAAGGTATCTCTAAATGAACAAGCACAAAGTGTGTTTCTCAGTCAACTGTCCCCCCTTGGGGTTATCTCACGTTGAAGCAGCAGCCCCACCTCCACTCAGGTTCTCAACAGGGAGTTAACAAGGTCTTTTACGAGGAGATTCCAAGGATTTGCTTCAAAAGACAGTAAATGAACTCCCGACAGCACCCTGTCCTGAAGAGTTACAGCCGAGCCGCACCCTCCTCCCCACGAGGAGGTAAGGCCAGGCCTACACAGAGGTCACCGGTGGGAGCAGCAAGGACTGAGCTGAGAGAAAACAGATGGAGGATGTGTGCGGGGAGGGCTCTCCAGGGCTGCTGTGGTCCTCGGAGAACAAGAGGAAGAAGGGAGGAGAAGGAAGAGTTTAGAAAAAGGACAAAGCTGGCTTTCCTGTCCTCTCTCCTCCTCACCTCTCCTCACAGCTTCAGGGGCAGGACTGGGCCCACAAAGTACCTGGAAGGCCCCAGGTGACATCACAGTGCTAGAAAAATCACATGGTGTCTAAGTTTCTCAGCATGGAAGATCCTGACCAGGGACGGAACCAGAATCAATACCCCCTGACACTCAACGGGCAGGAAACAGGCTCAAGAGACACAAAGGCTGGCCAGCTTGGCGTGTCCTCTTACAATGGAGCACTTGGTGAACAACAAACACCTCTGAAGCCGGAAGAAGGGGAGGGAAAAGGAGGGGAAGACCCACCCAGCGGCCTAGTTGAGGATGAGGCTGCTGTGTATCCTTGGGGACTCCGGCCTTTGTTCCACCCTTCCTGGGAAGGCAAATGACATCACCCCTGCGCTCCCAACCCAGTGAGGCCTGGGAGACAAGGCCAGATGCCGTTGGCACAGACAACAGCAGACAGTCCAGAGGCGCGTTTCCAAGCCACTGTCACTGTGCCTGAGCTGTGTAAGGTGGTGGTGGGAGCAGCAGAGGGAAGCTGTACGGGTACAAGACAAACGTGGTGAGGTGAAAAGGGACTCAGCCCACAGAGTCCCTGGGGAGTGCGAACGTTCAGGCACTGCTGCTAACCAAAAGGCTGCAGGTTCAAGTCACCCAGAGAGGCCTCAGAAGAAAGGCCTGGCCATCTACTTGGGAAAAAATCAGCCACAGGAAACCCTATGGAGCACAGTTCTATTCTAACACATATGGGGTCACCACAAGTCAGAATCGCCTTGACGGCAACTGGTTATGAGCTCCGTATTAAGATCTGGTTACTGAGACCAGAGGTTCTCAACCAAGGGCAATTTTGCTCCCACGGGATAAACAGCAACATCACATTTTCTTTTAACGTGCCAACTTTTTATTATTATTATTATTATTATACTTTACATGAAGGATTACAGAGCAAACTAGTTTCCCATTAAACAATTAATACACGTATTGTTTTGTGACACGGGTTGCCAACCCCACAACATGTTAACATTCTTTCCTTCTCGACCTTGGGCTCCCCATCACCAGCTTTCCTGTCTCCTCCTGCCTTCTCATCCGACACATTTCTTGACTGTCACACTGGGGCACTGCTGGCATCTAGCAGGTAAAGGCCAGGGATGCTGCTAAATATCACAATGCACAGCCCCACCCCCCAACAAAAAACTAACCAGTCCAAAACACCTACAGTCCCAAAGCTGGGAGCCCCTGGTTTAGGCGTCCTGGGTTCCGCCGCTTGGAGCAGGCATTTGCAATGTCCGAGACTGCACTCCTCAGAGGCACACTGAGCTGGGGTGCCACCCATTCACCGTTCCCTTTGCCCACATCAAAGGCGTTTTGACCACACTAGTTTGCGTGCTAGCTCATCGGCAGCAGAAATCCCCTGCCTTCAGGCCCACTCACTCGCCGGGGGGGTGTGCCTCCCTGTGGGGCAGAGGGTCACACACAGCAGAGCAGCGTGCAGAACAGGGTGGACCCAGTCTGGGTTTGTGTGAAGGTGGGCACTTCTGTCCCCACACCACTCCTGTTCTACCTGTACTGGCTCTCACCGTGTCAAATCACACCTGCATCTTCTTCCAAGAGCCTGATGCAGCTGAGCCTGATGCTGACTGGACCGTTCCCACCCAGCCCAGCCCAAAACTTGGCAGGTGGTGTCACCAAGGAACAGGCATCCTTGTCTCCACTGCTCCCCGTGAGTTATCTCTCAGTAGTGTTTGTCCCAACTTCCCACATTATATTAATTTATAAGGACTCACCTACAGGCTTCCCTGGTATTAAATGAGACTACGTAACATGCTCATCAAAGTCTCTGGCTTGTCATAATTGCTGATTAAACTAGTTCCCTTTCCCCTTCCCAGCAAAAAAGCACATTCTTACCAATTCAACCCATCACTCAAATCATTTAATAAACTTACCAGGAATCCTGGTATCATATAATCTCAGGGTTCAATGAGCCTTCAGAAGTCATCTAAATCAACTTTCTTCCAAAAGCAAAAATTCCCTTCTACAACATCCCAAAGAAACGATTGAAAAATCCCAGGAACGAGGGAAACTCCATGTGCAACAGTGTTTGGTGGGAGGTTGCTTTAAGTTAACACAGAAAGGAAAGGGCTTGTTCTTCCTTTTTTATTAAAATAGTAATAGCATTTACTGAGCATTTACTTCAACCCGGGTGTTGATCTAAGTGCCCTACAATACTCACCACAACCCTATGAGGCAGGAACT